TCAGCTAGCGAGAACATGAGCTGCCGTACTGATGCGTATCAACTCCTTGTCCTTTGCAGAAGAAGCTTGCTTTACACTCAAACCCCACTCAGCAGCAACGTCCGGGAGGCTTGCCAACTGCGGTTCCGACAACTGTTTGAAAACTTGCTCCGCGTCTTTGATGGCCGTTTTGATGGACGCTTCTTTCTTCTTGGGCAACTTCCGGATCCAAGCATTGACGCCCTGGGCGGTGACGGTGGCGGGGTAGTTTCTCTCAAAGGCTTGACTCCCGAGTCGTTCTTCACAAGGGGTGACGAAGCCACGTGCTCAACGGGCAAGTTGTTACCACCTCGGCGAAGACGCTTGCTGGTCGGCGGGGCAGGCGAACGCGAGGGAGACGACTTTCGAGAACCAGCCTTTTCTGCTTCAAGCTCTTTCACCCTTTTTCGGAGCTGTGCAACTTCATGAGCATCAGACGATGAACACGGCGGGGCATGAAATTTTCGGATAACACTCAACGCTTCTGTAGCCAATTCCTGCACCGCTTTGTTCTTGCCGTCCTTGTCGATTGGATTGTCTCCGTACTTTTGGAACCACCGGTTGAAAGCGGCACTTTCGATGTCCCAGTGTTCCGTGCGACACAACCGCAACAAACTGTCTGCCAGCTGAGCTTCACGAACTGAACGAGCGAAGACTACACTCACGACAGCCCCTGCTGACAAGGCTCTCAAGTTGTGGTTCTCCCAGCCCAAATAGCACAGTTCATGAACTTTGACACTATCCACAGGACGATTGGCAAGACCAACTTGTTGAGACCACGGTGTTGAGCAAACGTTCCGGTAGAACTGGCGACCAAAACACGATTTTTTGTCGATGTACTTCCGGTCGTGCTGGAAAGAAGCAGGAAGGTCCAACTTGTGCTCTTTGCGCCCATGACCGTGCGGACTTTCAAACTCCACACGGCTTGTGCGACGACGTGCCACTGGAGATCGAGACCGAGAGGAATCACGCCTAACCATGCTTTCGACAGCGCGGCGAAGGGGACAACACTACACTACGAACCACACTACAGGAAAAGGTCACGTCGAGACGCGATGTGCAACATGTGCATTCTGCAGACAATGCAGGCAAGAATCCGCGGTGCAGACTTGTTTGACGAGGACAGCACCGTAAACGACTCAATAAAAATTGTCACCAGCCGTACCCAATTTCAAGGCAAAGCCGGAGAGCTGGTAAAAATCCCGATTTACGCACAACCGTTGGACCAACTGACTTTGTACAGAATGGCAGGTCTTGTGGTGTGCATCGGTAGGAAAGGCTGATGATTCTGTTGTCTCCAGCACACGCCAAAACTTCGGCAATCGGTGGTTGATGCGAAGGCCGCACATTACTGCCCCAAACTAGACACTGCGAGGACTGAATCTCACCTTCGTTGACAATGTCGCAAAACTCCCGCATGGTGACAGGAACTACGAATGTACTGGGCGATCTCCAAGATTTAGCCATGGTTTGTCGTCCACATCTGCACTGCCAAAGGCTCGGTTCCATCACCATGAACTGGACCATCTTGGCGTCACCATTCGAACGAGCAGAGAGCAGACTGAAAGGTCCCAAATCAGCAATACCCACACCGCATGCATGTAGCAGTTGTGCACATTCGCTAAGCGCTGCTGAACACGCCGGTTTTCCACGGTACAACCAGAAACTTGCCAATTGCCATCAGGAACTGACGCAAGGACTCGGCCTCAGGAACCCACAATTGGGAATTGCTGTCGTTTCGAGTCGCGGGCAAGCGAATCTGCTGCATGACATCTTGGTCAGTTTTCATGACTTTTGGCTGTAAAGGACCTGCAGGCCGATACTGAACCTTGCGCTTCTGGTGCACCGGCACATGAACTTTACAGTCGTTGGCATCAACGAACGGGGTAGACGTAGTTTCAGAACTATCCCGAATGTCGTCACGGCCAACCACACGAGCTGGTGGACAATTTAGCTTTGGAATCCACTTCGGTCTAGGGGCACCATCGCCCAAAACTCGGAAGCTTGCGCCAGGCATCTGTATGTTTCCGACCACCGACTCGCCACTTCTCCCACCACTTCGATGCTGGTTCGTTTGACTGCTGCTAGAAACATGCCATATTCCAGGTGGAAAATCCAAGCTCATGATGCGCTCTGCTCTGGAGTGCTGCAACAACGGTGTCCAACTTTGAAATCCTCAAGGGCAACCAACTAAGTGAAGCTTTAAAACGCTTGTCGTGCAGTATGTCGACATGTCACAACAAGAAGACACCTTTAGACCGAAGAAGCCGCAAGCGGCGAGCGGCTCCTTGCATGGACACGCGAACCATGCAAGAATTTTAACATGCATTGTCAATGTTTGACGGTGCCACCAATGTTGCGTACTGTCCAAATCCACACTGGTTGTACGAAGTAGATCTGGAAGCATACGGAGACATGTAACTCGAAGCGAAGTGGTTGCTCACGGCATCAACTGGTTGCTCAAGGCAAGAACTAGTTGCTC